GAGGATGGGTGAGTGTAAAGGGGGGAAAGGGTAGTGGAGAGAGAGACCGCCTGGTCAATCGGTGCCAAAGGGAGGAGAGCGACGGAAAGCGGAGGTGGAGAAGGATGAACAAGTCTAAAACGAGGTGGTGGAGTCGATAATCTTACGCGTAGAGGGGAGATACGAGTTTGACTCGTTGAGGTGGGTTGAACGCCGGTTTGGAATAGATGCGGTCCTTGGTCGTGCTGCTCGTCGCAGGCGCCACCACCGTCGACTTCTTCTTGACGGTCATGGCGGTGGCAGCGGCGGTGGGTACCAGAGAAGCTCGACTTTCGGTACGTTGTCGATAGGTTTGCGAGCTAGAATCCACCTTGAGAGTGTACTCTAGCGTCACCGTCGAATTCCGTCGAGTTCTTTGCGAGCTGGAGCGTGAGCGATCTTCACCCATAGCGACAGCCACAATGGGTACAGGCGAAGACAGACCTAAAACATGAATAATGTGTTAGCTTTTCACTCTTCTGATTGGAATAGGGTTGGCGAGGTGAGAGCAGAACGGGAGACCGGTGGGTAAGCGAGATGAGCGAACGGGAGAAACGATTAGGGGAAGGAAGGAGTACGAATGACGCGTTGGCCGCCTGGAGACTCTCCAGGCGAGATCCTCGAAGCACACTCCACTTGTCCGAGTCCAAGTCAAGCTACAGGACCACGCCTAGCCTGAATCTCAGAGCACCGAGGAGAGGCTATTGAGGGATCTGGAAAGAGATCTCGTTGTAAAGGGAGGCGAGCGAAAGCACGAGAACCGCAAGTCTGGCAAAAAAGCCACGCTACTCTCGCAAGACGCATTCTGGCTTCTCCCACACAAACGTCAAGCGGAAACACAAAACGCAAAAAGTTGACCCACGGCTTCCATCTCATCAAAAACCAAAAATTTTGCATAGCAAAAAAGTGGTTTTGTTTTGTGACGAGCACGTGTGCACGGTCAGGTCAAGGTCCCAAATGGACAACGTCTCGTTCGCTCGCTTGCCTGCCTGCGATGTGGCGCTGGCGTGGCATCTCGATAGGGCTAGCATAGCGCGGGTGGCCAATCGCAATCCGATCGAAAGGAAAAAGGGAAAAAAGGAACATTTTGATAATGAAAAGGAAAAGGAAGATTGCAGGGTTGAGAGTAAAAAGGGTTAGACGACATCGCCTGACTAACACCCTTCCACCCCTCCCTTTTTGGGCACATTTAAAGTTTTTTTTTTATGGTCGGACAAGTGAATAGCGGGTGAACGGTGCAAGTGAATGGGGAATTGGGATGGAGGTGGCATTGGATGGCATGGACAGGATCACACAAAAGGGATGGTAAAAATGTGGGGAAGGAGGACGAGGAGGAGGTTGCTAGAAAAAAAAAAGGTTTGATGCTTACGAGAGGGAGGAGTGGCCGTTGAGCTCGAGGCCGGTCTACAATATTCTCCTTGTCTTGAAAGTGGCACGACAGGTTGGTTTGCAGTAAAACTGAGACTCGTCGCACGACTTGTGCGATGCACGTGTGGGTGGCGTTGCGTTCCCCTTTGGCCGTCAGCAGCACGGCTCATCTCTCCACCATATTCTCCTCTACCCGTTATAGTCTTATTATTCGCAGCCTTTTCCCGTATGCCGAGATCCGAGGGCCGAGAGACAAGCGCTGACAAAGACAAAGCAGACGAGAGGGAAGAAGGAGAGTTTTTCTCGTGCGATGAGGAGGCGGAGGATGGACCAACACGAAGGTGCGAATGGGCATACTCGGTCGACGAGGACGAATCGGGACGGATGATTGTACGAAGTGCATCCGGCAAACAATTGCTAGTCGAGGAGGGGACTCGCGGCCCTGCACCTTGAACCTTGTGATCGCACGAGGAAGAGGTCGAATACGTGCTGTTGATGCTGGAACTGGAGCTCGTGCTGGAACGGATGGCGTCCTTGTCTTTCGGACCTCGTGTGAGATGGATAAGCTCGTGCGGAAGAGGAGGTGTTGACCTGTTGATGGAGTG